GGCTCGGGAAGGGGAAATGGGGTGTCCATGGCGTGGGTGTCCGGCAGAGGCCCAGAGAAGGGACAGTGTGCACCCGCGTGGAACAGAAAAGAGATCTCCCAAGAACTGAACCACGCACACACTCTGGAAGTTTGACTACGACCTGATTGTAATTTCCCAAAGCAGAGTTCGCCACATTTTGCCCGTGAAGTGTCTGGCCCGAAGTCAGACAGCAATTGTAAGAAATGAAGACCATTTTGAGTGAGACAGTCGGTATCTGATTCATTTGCCATTCACAACCACCTCATCTGGAGGGGTAAATTCTTCTTCTCCTTTCCAGAAATGCACCTCGGAAATGAACACCCCGGCACTGTCACCTCTCTAATTTGTTTCCGGTGGTGACAGCTATTCTAGAATGTTCTCGTGATAACTTCATGGCCCCTTTGAAGACCGAAGGGAATACGAATGATTACAGCTTGCCTGGTTGCCTTTGTGGCATAGGCTACCTTTAAGCAAAACTGATGACGACAGAGGCTCTTACATAGCGTAGTTAAGGGCAGTTTTTCGGAAGCCTGAAGTTCAGAAATCCTCAAGCAGATTTCCCATCCTTAGAGAAAAATATAGGGCACTGTAGACACACCAGTCAAAAGATGGTATTTTCATATTCTTCTTAGGTCACGTCTCTTTCTTTGCCTCCACATTTCGTTTTGAAGTTCATTCCTCTGTCTTGTCATTGGATTGATTCTTGCCTCCCCTTTTAGATCTCTCTGCATATGCCACAACCTGAAACACCTTAAGAAATGCCCTAAAATTGTTTAACATCAGACCTTCCTCTACAAAATGGCATCACCTGCCCTGGGGCGCCCGGGTGGCTCCGTCAGTTGAGCGTCCGACTTTGGTCATGATCAAAGGGTTCATGAGTTCGAGCCCCGCATCGGGCTCTGTGTTGACAGCTCGGAGCCTGGAGCCTGCTTCCGATTCTGTGTCTCCCTCTCTCTGCTCCTCCCCTGCTCACGTTCTTTCTCTCTCTCTCTCTCTCACAGAATAAACATTAAAATTTTTTTTTTAAAAAAGGAAAAGTTTGTGATTTCAGATGGACGTCCCCAGGGAGCCCTCTTCCATGCGAAGGCATAAACCACTGACTCACGCAAAGCCAAAGTAGGATTTAGATGCCATTAGCATGGCTGTTGTTGGTTGATCTCTCTTCTGTATTTCTAATCCTACCCACCCCAGAAGAGTTGACCATCCTTGATAAGATAAAATTCTTCTTCTGAACATGTTCTAGTGAACTTGACGAATGCCTGGGCCTGGGTGCTCCACAATAACAAGCATGTGATGACAGAAGGTTCTGGGAGCCTCGGGCGTCTTCATCATCGGCTCTGATTTTATTATTAAAATTTGACTTTCACAGAATTAAGTCAATAACGTACCGCTCTGTCAAAACCACTATGGGACACCACAAAACACATCTATCATAAGACAAAGTGTTGGCAAAGATGCGGAGAAATTGGAACCCTTGTACATTGCTGGTGGGCACGTAAAATGGTTCGGCTTCTGTTTTCTGTGGAGTACAGTTTGGCGGTCCCTCAAAAAGGTAAACATAGAATTACCATATGACCCTGCAATTCTACTCCTATGTATAGACCCTCCAAAATGCAAACAGATACTCAAAAAGTACATGTTCATGGGAGCACTATTCACAGTAGTCAAAAGGTGAAAACATGCCAATCATCCACCATTGGATGAATGGACAGTTGAACTGTGGCATACCCATACGATGGAATATTAGCCATAAAAAGGGAGAAAGCGCTGATACGTGGTATGATGTGGACAGACCTTCAAGACTCACGTAAAGTGAAAGAAACCAGACGCAAAAGTTCACGTATTGTACGATTCCAAGGATATGAAACACCCAGAGTAGATAAATTCATAGAAACCACGGGCATCAACGGTTGCCAGAAGCTAGAGGGAAGGAAGTGGGAGGAACAGCTTAATGGGTCTGGGGTTTTACTTGGAGTGACGGGAATGTTTTGGAACTAGACAGAGGTACTGGTTGCACTATATACTGCATACGTACTAAATGTCACTGAATTAGTCGCTTTAAAATGATTAATATGGGGGTGGCTCTCGATTTCAGCTCCGGTCATGATCCCGGGGTTGTGGGATTGACCCCCGTCGGGGAGTCTGCTTGGGACTCTCTCTCCCTCCCTCTCCCTCTCCCACTTGTGTTCTCTCTGTCTCAGAAATAAATAACAATACATAAGTAAATTTAAGAATGATTAATTTTATGTTGCATGAATTTTACCTCCACAAATAGTTTTTTACAAAGAAAAAAATAAAAATAATGTGTGGCCCTGCAAAAAAACTTCAGTAAGTGTAAAATTTTATTGCTGAAAGGAACCTGCTAAATCAGTAATTCATACACTTCATTTCCAGACCAAGCTGAACCAAACATATACTTTATTTCTGTAGGTTTGAAGACAGGAATACAGCAAATGTCTTCTACTTGTTTTGTTATGTTTTCCTGGTGCATCAGCGTCTTCTTGAGAGAAAACGTTATGGAACTTTTTTTTTTTTCGAACCATCTGTCAACGCTTTTCTCTCTTGGAATAACTGCACAGGAGAATTTTACACATCCTCTTCAGATTCGAGAGTATGGCGTCATCACTCAATCCCCTGGTACATCCAGGACCCACGAGGACCGTGAAAACTGGAATAAACCATTTTTCATTTTCACAGTCACTGCAGGGGTATAGGTAATCTCCCTTGACGGAGGAGAAAAAGGATCTCCATGGTTTTAGACAGTCTTTTGGTCTAGATAACGCCCACGGTATTTGCTTCAAAGAATTCAGCACAGCCAGTCTACAACACTCAGCCCGTCCCCATTCCCCTCCCCCAGGCCCTTCTCTGTTATTCTGTTTTCTGTCCCTCATCCTCTGTACCGTCCCAAACAACTTCACCCTGAATTCTGGCTCGTTTCCTTTCTCCATAATGTTCCCTCCCCTAGATTTTTATCCCTTCCATTTCTCCAGCTCCCCTTTGACCATTCAAACTTGTACACGCATATGGATTTTATTAAATTCTTCTAAATATAAAAATATTATAAAATTATGGGGTGGCTCAGTTGTTAAGCATCTGATGTCAGCTCGGGTCATGATCAGGTTGGTGAGTCTGAGCCCCGCGTCGGGCTCTGTGCTGACAGCTCAGAGCCTGGAGCCTGCTTCGGATTCTGTGTCTCCCTCTGTCTCTGCCCCTCCCCCGCTCATGCTCTGTATCTCTCTCTCTCTCTCTCCTTCAAAAATAAATAAACATTAAAAATTTTTTTAATTGTTACAAAATGAAAAGCATAATTATAAATCATTATTAGTATAAAATATATTGCTTTAATTTAAAAAAACCCTTTCTTTCAAGAAGTCTGTTCTTGAAATCTGAGACCTAGTATGACTTAATCACCCGGCCATTCTTTCTGAAAACTATCTTCATAATGAGTAATTCTGTAAAACTATTCGAAGGCATTTTAACACCAGATCACAGGGAATAGAATAACAGCGATTCACACTCTCATGAATGGTACTATTTAATGTAATTATGGGATTCGGGAGATGGACAGGACAGCTTCCACAACACATGGCAAATGGATAAACTATTAGCTATTTGGCACTTTCCTTGCTACGGACTGAACGTTTGTACTCCCCTCCCCCCAAATCCATACGTTGAAGTCTAATCCCTGGGGGGATGGTGTCTGGAGGTGGAGCCTTTGGGACGTGATTAAATCATGAGGGTAGAACCCTCATGATAAGCCCTTATAAGAAGAGACTCTAAAGGAGAGAGATGAGGTCTCTCCACCATGTGAGGACATGGCATGAAGGCAGCGGTCTGTAAACCTGCAAGAGAGCCCTCACTCAGAACCCAACCACGCTGGCTTTCTCTCAGACTTCGGGCCGCCAGGGCTGTGAGAAATAAACATTGGTTAAGCCACCCAGCTTATGGTATTTCCACGAGAGCAACCCAGACGAAGACATGCCTTTCGATAATTCAAAAAAACGAGTCTTCTCGGACATCCGTATGATGAATCTCTAAAAGCCACTAACCAATGATTTTGTCAGCTGTCCCCAAGGAAAGCACCTTCTTGCCTCATGAAGAGCCAAGACACTCAAAAAGGAAACATGTCGCTTACAGGAACAGAGAAGAGTGTTTCGTCTATTTGTTTTCTCAACAAATAACCAGCTAACTTCTTCTAAGAAGAAAAAGGAGCTGAATGTCTGCCTCTCTTCCTTGATCTGTGCCAAACCCATGACATGTCTCAAGCATCTTCTTCACAGAAGACATTCGCTTGCTACCTAATTCTGTAACATGTGTCAGGTGAGAAACACCTGTTTCCCATGTTTTGAGGCCATGGTGGCTGGTTTCCCAATGAAAACCTCAGTCCCGGTCCGAGTGGTTGTGACAACGTATCCTCCAGTGTGACCTGTGTGGCTGCAGCATGGAATGGAGTGGGGAGAGACACGGACCACCCCTATGATACAACCTTAACTGACACCGCACCTCAAACAGGATGCCAGTCGCTCCTCAAACAAAATACTTCTCGAGAGAATCCAGGAGCAATTTCAGGAGCGGAGAATAACCCACAGACATCCTGCCTTGCTTGTCTATAATTGACAAGGTCTGCGGACAAGAGAGTCATTTCTGCATGACAACAAAGAAAGTCATTTTCAATTCCGTCTGTGAGAAAAAAGAAAACAAACAACTTCAGTAAACATTTATCGAGTGCTGTATTAGTTTGCTTGACTGCCCTAATAAAATACCACAGGTTGAGTAGTGTAAGGGACAGACATTCATTTTCTCACAGCTCTGGAGGCCGGAAGTTTAAGATCAGGGCATTGGCACTTTTGGTTTCTTCGGAAGCATCCTTCCCTGTGGGGGGCTGTCTGGTCCCTGTGTCCTCCCCTGGTCTTCCCTCTGGGTCCCTGTCCTAATCTCTTCTTCACATCAGGACACCAGCCATATCGGATTAGGACCCTCTAGTGGCTTCATCTCACCTTAATTACCTCTTCAAATGTTCTACCTCTCAATAAGGTTACACTCTGTCTCCACAACTGTTTCCATTCTTAGGTTTTTCCCACTAATTCAATTTGCCTACATAGCACACAAACCTCCTATTCCTTGTATTTCATCCCTATCTTTTGATCCAGGTAAATGTTTTTATTATCTAGGTACCAGTCACAAATCCCAATCCAAGCCTGATTACACCATAACATCGTATTTGTTAACCTTATTCAGTTTAAAGAGATTTGTCTTGGGGCGCCTGGGTGGCGCAGTCGGTTAAGCGTCCGACTTCAGCCAGGTCACGATCTCACGGTCCGTGAGTTCGAGCCCCGCGTCGGGCCCTGGGCTGATGGCTCAGAGCCTGGAGCCTGTTTCCGATTCTGTGTCTCCCTCTCTCTCTGCCCCTCCCCCGTTCATGCTCTGTCTCTCTCTGTCCCAAAAATAAATACACGTTGAAAAAAAAAATTAAAAAAAAAAAAAAAGAGATTTGTCTTCCAATTTCCCATGCCTTGATTTATATGCAGATACTTTTCATTGCAAGCGTGCTTTCCAAATTATTCTCTTATTTATTCTTTTCGGCTGAAAATTATCAGGTATTTCCTACACTTCATTTCTCCTCCCCATCACCCCCGTTGACTTTCACGGTAACAAGCCGTCCACTTTAATCTGACTCTTTTTTTCTATTCTTCTCTCAAGCGTTTCTGCGTTCAGTCACCTAAATCAAGTTAATGAATCGTCTGCTACCTCAAGCCCTCGGACACCTGCTCCCTGAGCTCACCGTTCTGGTCTCGTCCATTAGGACCCCCGCAGACGGATCTCTGAGCCGGACTTGCTGACATTGAACGAAAGACGGCTCTACCACCTGCGGGCATGTTTCTTCTCGCACGTGAAAACTGCTCATCTTTTTCCGCCGGGGGGAATGACTGCAGAACCAGATGGCCTGTCTTGCGGACCTCCTGGCACTCAGAATTTCTTGTTTGGAATCACATGTTTCAGGAGCGAGTTAAAGAATACAGCGAAACAGCTAAAGATCTGAAAACATGCGCAGAGACCTCTACAAATACTGGACATATTGTTGTTTGCAGCACGATTTATTATCTGGTCATGGTATTTGAGTACATTCACAGGTACTGACGTAAAAGCACTGTGACCTCTCCGGAGACAGGGCAACTCAAAAAGAGAACTTCAAAATGTGCAGGAGCAATAAATATCAAACTTTCTGATCTAAAACGTATAAATATAAAATATCAGTCACTTCAGGAAACATCTTAAGAAAATTCGGCAACCACACGTCCATGGGTAGATGTCGGGTGTTGACGGTACTAATCTTCAGAACACGTCACCTTAGATCCAGCATGGTTATTTTTATGTCTTTTACCAACACATGTTTGCATATCTAGGTAAGAAGAAATTGGTTTTACATCATAAGGTTTAATTAACACGGTTCTCGTCAGAGAGGGGATAGGAGTTCCCTGATATAAAAATGTTCCCAATTTTGAAAAGGTTCCCGATCAGAACGGACAGAATCGTGTTCATTCATTTCTGGCACGAACGGATTTACAAAAGTTGCCAAGTAGTTTTCATTTTAAGTAGATTCTAACTTCAAAATAATGTTTCTCTGACGTTCCAGCCAGGGAACCAGCCCGCAAGCAGTTAGGAGGAAAGATGGAGTCAAATAATGTTTCTTTTGGGCGAAATCCAAGCCAATCAGCAGGTATGATTACAGGGGCCCCTGGGTGGCACGGTCGGTTAAGCGTCTGACTTGGGTTCCGGTCATGATCTCACAGTTCGTGGGTTCGAGCCCTGCACTGGGCTCTGTGCTGACAGCTGAGAGACTGGAGCCTGCTTCAGAATCTGTCTCCCTCTCTCTCTGCACCTCCCCTGCTCGTGCTCTCTCTCTCTCTCTCTCTCTCTCTCTCTCAAAAGTAAACCAACATTAAAAAATTTTTTAAAAAAGAATTACGATTACAGTTTTCATTGAACCATTATGAAAAAATTAATGTGGCCCCATCGAGCAGAAATAATTCATAAGACATTTAGCATCATTTTCTTTAATTGTAAGGAGGCTGAGGAAAACTCTATTTCCATGCCCAAATGGAAAAGTAACTTTAGGCATATCAAGTCTGCTATAGAAATACTGGCATTCTCTGGTAAATAAATTAATAGTGCAAAGAAACCAGAAATACCTACAAAGATTAATTTTTGGGATAAGAAAACAACAAACTGAGCAGTACAGTGTTTTATCCATATCATACTCCTACTGTTTCTCTCCTTAAAAAAAGAAAGGAAGAGGTGAAAAACAAGTATCTGTAAAAAATAGTCAACACCGGGGCGTCTGAGTGGCTCAGTTGGTTGAGCGTCTGACTTCGGCACAGGTCATGATCACGCGGTTCGTGAATTTGAGCCCCACATCGGGCTCTGTGCTGACAGCTCGGAGCCTGGAGCCTGCTTCAGATTCTGTGTCTCTTTCCCTCTCTGCCCCTCCCCTGCTCACAGTTTCTCTCCCTCCCTCTCTCTCTCAAAAATAAAACATTAAAAAAATAGTCAACACAGCCTACTCACACTGAACAGCCTGGGGTCCTTGGTGTGTGGATGAAAGCCCTTCTTTTTACAGGCAGAAATCTCGAGCATGCCGGCGTTGGTCAGCCTGAAGATCCCCGTGCTGTTCCAGGGTGGGAACAAATGTACAAAAGTTAAGGATCATTTGGCTTTCCAGGGGCTTTGTTTGAATGGCCCAAGGATACATTTTCCTCAAAACGGGACGGAGACAGAAACCACAAAACCAGGAAGTCCACAGAGATAGTTTGAGCCGATTTTGCAATAACTGGCCCAGAGAGAAACCCCCAGGGGGCCAACGCCAACTCCATGCACCTGCTGGGCTAGAATGGGGAACAGGCAGCTGAACTGTCGTGTGAGACCAGAGTGGAAAACTGATGCCCCATGGGAGGAAATTACAGGTGGTGGATATTTCTACTTTTTCTAATAACGTGAATACTGTTTATAGAAACAGCAAATATTTGTCGAGCGCTAGCTACGGTGCCAGTCACTGTGCCAAGCCCTTTAGGCCGACTGCCACGTAGCCGCTTCTTCACATCAGTCCCGCTGGGCAGGTGTCAAGGATAAACAGACCAAGGCTCAGAGCGGTCACGTATCCCGAAAGACACACACCACGTGAGTGTGGAGCCGGGATTCCACTCGAAGTCTGTCTGACTCCTCTGCTCATAATCATTCGACAATAACCACTGTCTCCCAAACCTAGAAAGGCTTTGGAGGTAATTCAGCTAAGGCTGGAAATTGTCTTTCAACAGGAGACGATACAGTAGAAGTAAGATCTCAAAAGGCAACCCGGAATAATGTCGTCACTAAATAGAGCCAGTGATTCTACTACGGAAAGGACCGTAGAAAGGAAGAGACAACAGAGCTACAGGTATAAAGGGAGCTGGTTGGCACCAATCTCTTCCCAAGGGCACGGTGCACCTGCCTATCTAAGCGCCACCAGCAGCCCCAAGCAAAAGCCTTACTTGGACCCCATGGATCGGCGCACTTACTCTTTATGCTTCGGTGAGCAAACAATGGCGATGGCCTCTGGCAACATGAGCTGGTAGGAACAGTGAGTGTGAAGGTCAACACTGGACAAGAACGCAGTTTGGGTCGGATGTGTCTATAAAAAGAAAAGAGGACAATCACACTGGAGGAGTGGAGTCTTAGCCAAGACCACAGCCCGTGTTCAGAGAGAAAACTCCAGTGATTAATCCATCGTTAATTAAATAAGGATTTTAGAAAATGGGTCACGACATCACCCTTCCTTTTGTGCATCTTTGGGATGACCGAGACTTGCAGAAGAGGCTTTTGGAAGTGTTCATGTACTTTCTGCTTATTGGAAAAGACAGAACTGGAAATTAATGTGTATATATAGATGTATATACATATACACACACCCAACTCCACGCACCTGCTGGACTACAATGGGGAAGAGGCAGCTGACTGTCGTGTGAGACCAGGGTGGAAAACGGAGGCCCCACGGGAGGAAATTACAGGTGGCAGATATTTCTACTTTTATAGAAGTGTAT